CCAGAAATTATGTTTAATCCTTGTAACCTAGTTAGAACAGATGACTCAAATTGTTATTGCCACCAAATCTGTAGATTCATCCCTTAAGTGACTAATCATCAAGTTCAAACAATATAAATAGGAGCTTGATGAGGCATTGTAAATTCATTCAGAAATTGAGAAAATATTCAGAGATTAAGAAGAAGCAATTTAGAGCTTTTATCTATATATCTATCTCCCAAATTCGATCTTGATCTTCTTCATTTCACAACAAATTAGAATATATGAAGTTGATATCACAATACTCATTATTCGACTCTTAATGCTCTGTAGCATACGTCTAATGCTCATTAAAAGTGTGTTAATGCTTGATGGAGTATATGTCCCAGGAATCCCCGACCCACATACTTCCACTACTACAATCAGGCCCAACAGGCCCAAGTGGCCCAAACACAGCAAACGAGGCCCATGGAAGCCCCCAGGGGACGTACGTCCTCCAACACATGGAAGCCCCCAGTGGATGCACGTCCTCCAGTACATGGAAGCCCCAAGGGGACGTACGTCTTCCAGCACATGGAAGCCCCTAGGGGATGTACGTCCTCCAGCACATGAAGGCCCCGGGGACGTACGTTCTCCAGCACATGAAGGCCTCAAGGGACGTACGTCCTCCAGCACATGGAAGCCCCCGGGGGACGTACGTCCTCCAGCACATGAAGGCCCCATGGGACGTACGTCCTCCAACACATTAAAATCCTTCGGGGTACGTACGACCTCCAACACATGGCGGTATCCAGCTACGTACGTCCTTCAGCACCTGAAGGCCCAGGGAACTTACGTCCTTCGACACATGAACGCCCCAAGGGACGTACGTCTTCCAGGTACATTAATGACCCAGGGGACGTACGTCCTTCATCACGGGAAGGTCTCTGGCTATGTACGGCCTATGGCGCATGAAGGCTCCCGCCCACGTGCGGCCCTTGGCACATGAAGGCTCCCAGGGTACGTACGGCCTTCAGCATATGACGGTCCCCATGCTATGTACGTCCCAAGCACGGCAGCAAGGCCCAAATGGCCCCTGGGTACGTACGGCCTTCGGCACTCCCCTCGACAGGATCTCCTGTGCACATGGTCTGAATCGCCGCATTAAATGTGGTGTCACGTCCAACCACTGCATTAATTGCATCCACATGCTATGAACCACCGCATTAACTGCGGCCACATGATATGCCGGTGCCACCCCGACTGAATCGACTCGCCACCGTTGGTTATTTGACACGTGTACCCTCATTTATTGCACCTAGCATTTATGGTAGCTATAAATAGCTAGTCATTTCTTCATTGTAAAGGATCCCAGATCGAATTTATTTAATACATATCAGTTCCCTCTCTAGATCTCCCTTCTCTCTATGAGTTAATACTCCATCATTTGGTGATTTCATTGAGAGCTAAAACAAATCAATTGAGATCCTCCCAACCCATAACGTATCACACGAACGGGTGACATAATATCCCTTCGGCCAAGATCATGGCAGTAAGCTGGTTCCCCTCCGGCTCAAGACGGACGTCCGCTCAGCCTGATCATGGAGAAAACAACTCATTGTCTTCATCAGGCGGTCACCAACGTCCAGTCAGGAACACAATCCGCGCTTTCACCCAGCAGCGAGGGGAAGCCTTAGTGGATCCCTTGGCCAGTGTATCCTTCGGCCAAGGACCAGAAACCACGACAACAACAGCAACCAGGGGGACGGCAATAACGCATCGTCCACTAAGTCATCGGCTAAGACAGAGGATAGCGGTGCCTTCTGCCAATGAAAGCTTGTGGGCACCCCTCATCTACGATGGTTCCTTCTTCGGCCAAACCCGACAGAAGGAGGACAAATCTCACCCCCTTCATCCTGGGAAAAGGAGTCCCTTGGGAACAGGAGTAGCTCCTCCCTTGGCCAGAGGGCCCTCGTCCTCGGCCAAGGCCGACAAAAAACAGAACATGACCCTTCGTCCAACTAGAAAGCCGGTACCCCTCTGTCGAAAATGAACATATGGTACCGCCCTGACATGGGAGCACCACCGCCCCGTCCGAGCAAGCCTTCGTCTCAAGGTGGCACAGCCCTGACCAAGCAAGTCCCCAACGAGGGGACCCCCCAAGATCAGGGGAAATCCTACAAGCGAGGGTGATAAACCCATTCTGGACTCCCTATCGTCCGAGGGAATAGCAACCCCCTCGGTCGAGCCTGAAAGAAGGACTCCGAGCCTGAAAGAAGGACCCCCCTCCTCGCTCAAAGAAGTAAAGAGGAAGAAATAAAAGAGGGACAATCGAAGGACCGTGCACTCACCGGCCTCCAACGATATCCCCACAAATAAAAGAGGGTCAGCCGAAGGACCGTGCACTCGCCAGCCTCGAGCGATATCCCCGCAAATAAAAGAGGGACAACCGAAGGACCGTGCACTCGTCGTCCTCGAGCAAAATTCCCACAGACCAAGCCACATATTTGGCTAAGTACATATCAGGCAAATACTATGCATTATGGACGAACCAAGACCATACATGCGGATAGGACGAGCGTCTAACACGGTCTATCATCAGACGAGCGCCCAACGCCGTCCTCATCATCAGACGAGCATCCCCAACGCCGTCCTACTTCAGACCAGCATCAAAGCATGGTCCTTCATATGACGAACGGCTTCATCAGTGCCGTCGTCATCAAAGGATAAGCGTCCCCAGCGCTGTCCATCTTCAAAACACGGTGAAAGCCTGGTCCTTCACATGACGTACGGCTTCATCAACAACGTCGCCATCATCATCAAACGAGCGTCCAACGCCGTCTTTCGCCTTCAGACCAGCTAATGGAGTATATGGCACAGGGACCCCCGGCCCACATACTTCCACTACTACAGTCAGGACCAACAGGCCCTAATGGGCCAAGCCCATCAAAATAAGACTCCAGGCAGCCCATGACACTTAAGGTGTACCTTCTGCCTCATGCCCGAAGGCTTTACATTGAAGAAACCGAGTCCAGAAACATCACAGGGGAGCAAGGCTTAAAATACAGGTCTTCGGCATATACAGCCCTCGGCATAGAGGCCCCCCAGCACATAGAGCCTTCGGTTCAGTAGGTACATCCGAAGGCATCCTCCTCGACAGGATCTCCTCTCCACAAGCGTTGAATCACCGCATCAAGTACGACGTCACATCCAATCACCACATTTAATGTGGTGCACATGCGAATGTCGGTGCCACCCCGATTGAGGCGACCCTCGAACGTCAGATGCTTGACACATGTCGTCTCGATTATTGACTTTGCATTTATGGCTACTATAAATAGTGGCCATTTTCCATTGTAATAAAAACAACTTTCCTATTCGAATACACACACTTTCTCTCTTACTTATTGCTCTGACTTCTCTCTAGGTTATTCCCCAAAATAACCCATCGGATAAGCTACCCCCGGGTACACTATCCATCATTTGGTGCTCTCGTTGAGAGGCTAAACAATCAAGTAAGAAACCCTCCCCTTCAAAAAACGAAAACACACATGGAAATGGGAAGAATCACTCGTGCCCAGTCCAAGACCCTTGAAGACAACAACCTGCCCCTCGGCGAGGTCGACGCCCCCAGAGCCTCCAACAGGGCTCCTGAGGGCGGAGTAATCCCCGGGTTGGAACACGCTTTTGTCGACCTACGTCTCCAGCTCCAGAGGAATGCCCCTGATGCCCGCCTAGACATCGAAGCCCGAGGAAGGACCAGAGCGAGAATCAAGTGAGCCCTCCAGTCCTCACTATCGACGTGCAGTCGGCATTCTCTGCCTTCATACAGACGCTCACCCAGAACCCTGGGGACAGAGTGCCATTTCAGCCACAGGTCGGGGAGAACATCGTTCCTCCCCCACCTCCACCCCCTTCGTAAACCTTATCCTTCGGATCGGGAACAACTAAGGGGTCGTTGCTCAGGATACCGCCTCCCAGGAAGTTCAGTCCCGGGACCAGCCTGGGGCAAACAAAGATAGGCCCCAGACCTCCGCCCTCGAGAGGCTCGGAGGAGTGCCAGATCACTGAGGGGTCTAAGACCGCCTCAGTGGTAAGGCATTCCAAAGACCTCAGGAGAGCGGAGGATCTTTCTCGAGGGCAGACGAGAGGTGTCCCCCTCGGGACAAGGGCAAGGGGCTGCTCCATGCTGATGATGCCAGGCACCAAATCAACCAAGCTCACTCAACCCGCGCACAATCACAGGGGGGCGGAACTACTCCCGAAGGATCACCGGGATGACATCATTGAGGCCTTTCAACGCCGACTTGATGAGATGGAGGCTCGCCAAGCGCACACAACCGCTTTTGCCTCCCATGCGGATCCCAATAATGAAGCCATGATGGCCAAGATGGAGGAAATGCAAAAGAAGATTGTTGAGGGCTCCGGGGAACCCGTCATCCAGCTCCGGACAAGGACGCCTTTTACCCTAAGGGTGTTGGCGGCCCAGATTCCAGGAAAAAACCGAGAGCAACCCATCAAGCCCTATGAAGGGAAGACTGATCCCCAGGAGCATTACAGCAGGTACCAGAACAGTATGATGATGATGGGGGCATCAGATGAATATTTATGCCGTTGGTTCCTCTCCACCTTGGAAGGGCCAGCATATGAATGGTTCAACCGATTGCTTAAAGGGAACATTGACTCATGGCAAGAACTCGCCCAGCGTTTCTTGACGCAATTCGCGGGGAGGCGCTGATCAAAGAAACACATCTCCCACTTGCTGAAGGTGAGGCAACAGAAGGAGGAAACCCTCTGGGATTTCTTGGAACGCTGGAGGCTGGAGATGGATAAGGTTGACGACGCCGACGATGGAACCCTTATGGCTCTCCTACAAACAGTCTTCTTCACCGGGAACTCTTTAAGGAATCTTATTAGCGAATCTCCCCGCGATTATACATGCATACATCCATACATACATCCATACATGCATACATGCATACATCCATACATACATCCATACTTTTTTTTTTTGAAACAAAAAGGAAATTTTATTGATGAAGAAAAAGGAGTACAATGCGAAAAAGGAAGACAAGTAGGAGAAAGAAATACCGGAGAGAAAAGGAAAATGAAGGAAAATGAAATCTAATCTAGGCCCAAGGAAAATCCTTAGTTTGTGATCTAGTTCGCATGTTATGTCTCCGTTTTTTCTTCTGGGATTTGCGGTAGATTTTAAGTTGCGTATTGAGATTTTCCGTTGGCAAGCAAGTGTCCTGCGTGATAAACTGTGATTTGAAGCAAATCTCTCTATTGAAGTTGGAGTCCCGAATGTCATCTCGGTTGGAAATTGGTGGCCGACGATCACTTTCGGTTACATGCCCTAGAAAGTCATCTGAATAGTATGAGTCATCTGATGGATGAAAACTGTCTGAGGCATCTGAGTAAGCTTGTGTCATGATAACTTGGGATGTATTTCTGAAGATTGAAACGGTTGTTTCTCGGTATAGGCTCTCTGAACCTCAAAATTAAATATAAGTTTGGAGATAGATGTAAGTTCCTCATTGTCTGAAGAGGACTCCTGTTCCAAAATCAATGGTTTCTCCTACATTAAATTCATTAGTCCCAAAAAATTAGAGAAGATGGCCAGGAAATCAAGTAGGCTTGATTTTCATGGTCCCGTTGGAATAAGAATGAAAATCAATGGTGCCGCCTGTTGTTATGTTTGGTGAAGCTCTTCTCCACCGCAGTAGAAAATCTGGGTGTATAGCTTCGTTCCGGTGGGTATTGAAATTCCCAGTACGGGGGCGGTTCACGGTTGTGAAACCTGGGGGCTAAGATACCGGTTTAGATAATCATGGTACGGGAGGTATCTGCGAAATGAGAGCTCCCTGTTGCTATCGCTGTAGCATGGGTAGTGCCTGCAATTGCAGTGATGTTATCAACAACCTCTTGCGGAGGAGGTGAAGGAACCTAATGTTCAAAGGATTCACACATATAAATCGATTAAAAAGCTTACACTTTCACTCATGAGACGAATGGATCGATAGATCGGCACAAAAAGAAAGAGATAAATAAAAATGCAACTACTGAAGGAAAGAACGATACGAAAGAACTAGATAAACAAAAGTATAACCCTAATCATCGAGAATTACGAGGGAGTGATAGGGTAAACCGAGAAAGATCATATGAATAGATTGTAGATAGATCGATGCAAAGAAAATGATCTAATGGAGTGAAAGGTTGATTTGTATTCCAAGATAATAGTGATGTTGTTCGTATAGAAGCTAGAAGATGATTGAGTAGAGAATGAGAGCTAGGGTAGTAAATTTGTAATTAATGGTGACCAACTAAATGTAAAAGAGAAATTTTCCAAAATAGGAGTAAAAGATGAAGTAAATTAAAAAATAGGACATATTGTTTAGAATTCCCTAAATAGGACTAAATAATTGTGTTTGGACAAAAATAGCCTCCAATGCTGAAATGACTTAACATTGCGCGTTACTTGCGCATCCCAGCCATCCTCCGGGCTCCAGGTGTGTGCCGCAACTCAACCATCCTCTGGTGCCGCAACAATGTGTCCTTTAGCAAGTCTGATGCCTCCGCCGCCTTAATTGAGTTCGCTTCCACTATCCTCCGATGAAGCCGCCGCTCTTCGGCAAGTGCCTACAACCTCCATCGAGAATGCCACTTGATATGACACAAAAGTGACATTTTTGTCAAACTGGCAAAAACATGACATTTTTGAGATTGCCATCTTCAAAATATATTGACATAAAAGTGATATTTATTTTAATTAACCAATAATTATGACATTCTGTTATTCAAAAGTGACATTTTTGTCAATCTGGCAAAAACATGACATTTTTGTAATTTCAAAGCAATAATGTCATCTTTATAGATGTAATGCATTAAAAGTGACATTTTTATTATTAAGTACTAGTAATCATGTCATTCTCAGATTCATAATTAATCAAAATTGGTAAATAAATAAATAAAATTGAAATCCACAATCGATCAAGCGATGGAACCTAATTTTTCATCTAAATATTAACAAATCAAGAATAGGTTTTTTTATTCAATCAAAAAAGTCAACAAGAAATAAAAAGAAATCACGACAATCAAAGAAAAAAACAACAGATCACTAGGAAGAGGGTGTGAAGATGAAGAAGAAGAATGAAGAAGAGGAGGAGGAGGAAGAAGAAGGAGGAAGAAGAGGAGAGGAGGAGGAGGAAGAAGGAATTGGAGAAGATTACCTGTCTCCGCCGGAGAAATTGGTGCGGGTGGTTGGCATCGGCTGCAGTTGATAGCGGAGGAGCGATGTTGTAGCAGGGGTTAAGAGGAGTTCAATCCGAGTTGGAGGCCTGATATTCAATCGATCGAATGTAATCCGGAAAAGAGTGAGCCGAGTAGGTTTAATCGTACAAGGGCAAAAATGTAATCCGGAGTCTTATTAAGGGAATAATAAACTTATACTCCTATTTTGGAGTTTTGCCAATGTTTTAGACTCATTTTGGATAATTTCTTAATGTAAAATGTGGGAGATTAGTCAAGAATATTAGGACACTTGAACATTAATATAATTAAAAAAAAGTAATAATTTTTTCAAGATTACTGAGTTATATTTTTGAATTCAATCGTAGTCATTAAAAGTTATCAAACTACATTTTTGTCAATAACTTTTTTAGAAGTAATAATAGTGAAAGTTTGTTAAGATTTAAATAGAATGTCCGGTAAAAGGAAGTGTATAAGACACAAATAGCATTTCGATTGCTAAAAGATGGGAAAATCCTTTCAATTTCACTTTTTCACTCAAAATAAAAACATGAAAAGTTATTTGTACACGTAACTTGTACACATTTCTCGTACTTACCCCTAGTTGTCTGTGTACATAAAAAGCTGGTTCAGAAGTTGCCATGTACATGTGTAACTAAACCGTGCGTACAAGAAATTTATACAAGAAATGACTACAAGTAGTATCACGCATAAAAATAAAAAGTTTACTTTAAATTTTACCCTCGGTAAAAAAGTGAATGTTGTCGAGGGCATGTTGGCCATATGTAATTGATCTCAAAGGACCTCTTCAAAAAAAGGATGACATCCCACCCCTGAAGGCCCAACTCCGATTAGATGGTACGTGATAGGATGTAAGTTGGACTATAGACCAGACGGTACGTTGGGAGGAAGTAAGTTTTGGATGTTTTTTAGCATCGGTAACTAGGGGTGGGCGCGGTCCGGAACGATCCGGTAAATTGGTAAAACCCGTAATGTATCAGTGAGATTTTTAATGGTCTGGTACGGTCCAGTTCCAAGGATAGAACCGTTCAGTACCATGTCATTTCGGAACGGTACAAAACGGTACGGTACAATGCCAAACACATGCTAAAAAATTTGAACAAAACTTGTGATGGAGTATATGGCCCGGGAACCCCCGGCCCACAGACTCCTACTACTTCAATAAAGGCCCAACAGGCCCAGAAAGCACAACATGCCCAAATAACAACGCCCAGAGTACCAAGCAGCCCACAATATGCACCAGGGGTGCCTTCGGCCCCCTGGCCGAAGGCTCTAATTCTCACAGGAGGGCCAAGACAGGAAAACAAAGTTACTGGGAAAAAACGGCGAAAGTCAGTAGCCCTCGGTAACTGGAGCTCTCGGCACTAAGGGGGTCCCCGATACTCAGAGCCCTCAGCTAGTCATATACTGCCGAGGGCGCCTTTTCCGACATAATATCCGCTCCACATGCGTATGGATCACCGTACCCTGTACAACGTCCCATCCAACAGCCGCATTAAATGTGGTCACATGTGGTTGCCAGCACCAACCAGTTGAAGTGACCTCTCGGCCAATGGACGCTTGACACGTGTCCCTGTCCGGCATTTATTGATACTATAAATAGCACCCCATCTCCCCATTTGTAACCAAGTCACAAGTCGTAAGACACAATACTCACGCTGCATACTTTCTAATACACTTTCTCTCTCTATACTTATTTGCTCTGACTTCTCTCTAGTTATTCTCCGCAATAACCCCTCGGATAAGCTACCCCCTGGGTACACTATCCATCATTTGGTGCTCTCGTTAAGAGGTCGAACAATCAAGTAAGAAACCCTCCCCCTCGACCAAACACAAAACACCCAGCTAAAATGGTGAGAACAAAGTTAACCGGGGACCGGGGGTTCCCCGCAATCATCCCAAGGATTCTGCCCCCTCCGATGATCGCCCCCGGCATGGCCAAGCCAAGCCCGGGGGAGGCTACAAGGGGAACCCGAGGACTTGGGCACAACCTGTCATCCTGGAGCACCCTCGGACACCATTGACGCACCCCGTCAGCGTTATTCTTGATTTTGCTGAGGAGAGGGGCCTGGAGGAGCGAGATTCACGCGCACCCTCGGAGGTGTTTGCCATCAATCCGAACTACCCCTACTGTCGTTTCCACCGGCACTAGGGGCACAAGACCGATGACTGCCATCAGCTGAAGACGGCCATCGAAAGATTGATACAAGCGGGCCATCTGTCCCAGTTTATCCAGGGCCCTCAGCAACAAGGCCCCCCTCATCAGGGGCCACCCCGAGGGCAAACTGCGAGAGCAAACGCATGGGTCAACCCCAACACCATCCCCCTCGGCAAAAAGAGGGAGATTGGGAACTTTGAAGAAGAGGAGGAGGAGTACCCCTGGTACCAAGAGAAGAAGCGCCACATCCTCATGATCACGGGGGGAAATATCGGAGGTGATTCTACGAGTCAACGAAAGAAGTGGGCTCAATCACTTTACGTGGGGGAAGTCACTCATATGCCCCCAGTAAAGCGGCTGAGGGAGGAACCCATTATCTTCACTAACGCTGATCTCCCCCCAGTGTCCTCCCCACACAGGGATGCCCTCGTCATCCGCACAGAGATCAACGACACTATTATTCACAGAACTTACATTGACACGGGCAGCTCCATCAATGTAATGTACCTCAGCACCTTCAGAGAGCTGCATCTGGAGAGGGGGTCCCTTCGGCCCATCAAGACCCCTCTTGCCGGCTTCACCGGCGACACCATCGATTCCGAGGGGGTCATAACCCTCCCGGTAATCTTCGGCGACGACCTCCATAGAGCCAAGCTCGAAGTGGAGTTCGTCGTCGTCAACAACGATTGCGCCCACAACATCATCCTCGGCCGGCCAGCCCTCGAGGGTCTCGAAGCCGTCATCTCCATGAGGCACCTCTGCCTCAAATTCCCAGCCGAGGGGAGAATCGGTTACTCAAGGAGGAACCAAAAGCTTGCCCGCGCTTGCTACCTTCAAGTTATAAAGAAGGTTAGCAAGACGGAGTTCCGCGTTGACACCATCACCGGAACTGTGGAAGCGGAAGAAAGGAGGCCGAGGGCTGAACCAGCCGAGGAGGTAGAAGACTTCGAGCTCGATCCGGCCAAGCCGGAGAGAGTCGTGAAGATTGGAGCCAAGCTCCCCGAAGACCTGAAGACCGGCATCATCAGCGCCCTCCGCGCCTACTCCATTGTTTTTGCATGGGGCCGGAGGACATGCCGGGGATCAGTCGAAGGGTCATCACCCACCGCCTCTCGGTGGACCCTTCGGCCAAACCAGTACAGCAGCGGAGGAGACCCCTCTCGGCCAAGAGGAGGGAATTTGTGAAGAAGGAGGTCGCCATGCTCCTTTCTATCAAGCACATCAAGGAGGTGAAGTACCCCTCATGGCTGGCAAACGTAGTCCTCGCGCAGAAACCGCCCTCATTCCGCATGTGCGTGGACTACACGGATCTCAACAAGGCATGTCCCATGGACCCCTTTCCTTTGCCAAATATTGACCAACTTGTGGATGAAACCGCGTGGTGTGAAATCATGTCATTCCTCGACGCATTACGCGGATATCATCAAATATACATGCATGAGGAGGACGCTGAGAAAACAACCTTCATGACTCCCGAGGGCATCTTCTGCTACCTCGTCATGGCCTTCGTCCTAAAGAACTCAGATGCCACCTACACTCGGATGGTGGCCAGGGTATTCCAAGCTGTCCTAGGGCGCACCATGGAGGCGTATGTTGACGACATGATCGTCAAAAGCAAGCAATCAGCAAACCATGTTGATGACCTGAGGGAGATCTTCGCCATCATGCAGAAGTTTAGCCTTCGGCTGAACCCAAAGAAGTGTACCTTCAGCGTTCAGGGGGGCAAATTCTTGGGCTACATGGTTAGCCGAAGGGGTATCGAGGCCAACCCCGAGAAGATCCAGGCCATCATCAACATGGAACCCCCACGCAACGTGAAGGAGGTCCAACGGTTGACGGGCCGCCTGGCAGCCCTCAATCGCTTCT